GGAAAGCAAGGCTATGTGAAATTCAAGGGAAACGTCAGCTCAACTCATATGATTGTGGGGAAATTCTTCTTCTACCAGTCGTTCATCACCTTAGACGAAATAGGGTGAATACATCTCATTACACTGAGGGACAACGCCTTCTCGAAACATGTGGGAAGAAGGGATTCTGCCACTCACCAATGCCATTCTGAGCCAGGAGACCCAATGTCGAAGTGCCATCTCGTCCGACGCGCAGAAGCAGTAGAGCGTCTTGGAGGCCGGGTCGTCAACGGAGGTGTGCTGAAACGAGAAGAAATACAAGCTCCGTGTGGAATGTACGTTCAAAGGGAACCAAGGCTTCGCTAAAGCCTAGCACATGTACTCGACGCCAAAGCGAGCTGCCAGACAATCTGTATGCCTATTTTGTCCAGCAAGTTGCTGGAAACCTCTGGCCTTCCAAAGTCAGTAGACAAACAAGAAGCCCCGATAGGCGATGTCGACACACGCGACTTTGAGTCATGAACCCGCTCCGGGGCCGAGCGAGCTCTTCGTTGAAGAAAAGGGGTTCAAGATATTGGCGTTTGGTTGGCTGAGCCCCAATGGCCTGAACCACTTCAGAGGAGGGCCTCTCTTCTTGGCCCAACCATCAACCTACCACGATCCACAACCCACGGTCAGTGCAGTCAACAGTCAACGTTCAGCGGGCAAAGGTCAAAGGTCAACAGTCCATAGGCCAGAGCATTAAACTAGACGCCGACTGGCCTTGGGCAATGGATCTTGAGCAGTGCTCAGGTCGACTTCTTCGACCGGACGAGAAGCGACGAGCAAAAAGTGAACAATGAACAAGCATGACTGCGTCTTGGCTGATGTCTCGCTTCACTCTTCACTCTCCAGCTAACCTTGAAGGCGAACCCATGCGGAGTGGGGGCTCGCATCCTCGTCCAGCCGCCGGTGGTGGTGTACAATTTCAGGTGGTTGTCGAAGGACAGGATGCGAACCAGGTCGGTGAGCTGAAAGAGAAGAAAGAGGAGATGGCGAAAGGTGACCAGAGAGAGGAGTGAGGAATGGCGGGAGAAATGCTGCTAATTGGACCAGGTCATATTTATAATAAGTCCCCCGACTACTAAAGTGCTAACAGTAGTGTCGCCTATATTACACTTTAACAAAGGCCTTACAATTCCGGCGAGTTTCACTGTCAACAGGCTTGACCATCCGAACCGGACTGCAGCCTCAAAGTCGCCCGGTCTTCATCAACAACCTTTCCCTCTTTGCCGCAGCAGAACTCTTGCCCGAGTCGGCAGGATCCCACTCTCGTTTAGCCCCCATCGGCCGGATGCTTGTCCAGCCGTCTCAAGCACCTGCGAGCACAAGCCGACCTGCCGAAATCAACTTTATTCTCTCCCTCCTCTTCTTCTATCTACCTCAGGCGAATCGGGCTTGGCCGACCAGACCCTGCTTCTCTACACCTCCTGAAGGGTCTGTCACTGAAAAATTACATACCAAAAGTGAGCATGAGTGCTGACTGTATCGGTGCCTTTTTCACGAATGATGTCCTATTGCTTTGACGACTTCTGTCACGGAGGGACGAGGGAAGGCTCACCACGGACGAATTGGCTAGACAACCTTTTGGCGCTACCCAACAGTCTTCATGCCGTTTTCGGTGCGTCGAAGCCATGAATCTCTTCAAACTAGCCCTTCCTTCGAGATGAACAGTTGAGTCACATTGAATCAGTACGCAATGATTCTGGAAACTAACTTACCCTCATAACTGTATTCATCCTATTTCGTTTGAGGTGATGAAGAAATGAAAGTTGAATTTCCACACATTCACATGAACAGGTCTCATGCTTCAAATGACATTCACAAAGCCTTGCTTTCTCAAAGTGTATTGTGAAATTCAATTGAAACACCAAATCTGCTCATATGATTGTAGGAACTTTCAACTACCGGTCCCCGAAAAGCAACGTATAGACGGAAAATTGAGCGGTAAGAAATGCTGAGTGGTGAAAGCCAACAGAACTACAAATCTGAAGGATAGAAGATGTAAAGTTTTTCCCTATTTGCATGTACTCGCTTTAGCCTCATTTGATCCTGCAAATAGTGTTTGTATCTCGTTTCCCGGCGGCTCAGATGAAGAAAGCCTCGTCCTCCCCGAATGAATAGTCAGTCTCCTCTACCAGTAGACACCTCGCTCGAACTTCGGAGTGTTGTCATGTGCCGCCCAGCGCTGGATACACGAACTATTATCCACATGCGCCTCCACCTCAGTTGCTCACTTTTTATCAGTTTCCCCTTTTATCAATCTTCGATAAAAGTAGTCTTCGAGATATTTTTCGTTTATAAGTAGGATTTTGAGACCCCCAGTAAGTCACTTAGATGGGATGTTTCGCCCTATTTTGTTTCAGATGATGCAAGACTGTAGGTGAATTTTTATTTGATCACAGTCTTGCTTTCCCAAAAGATATTCTCGTCCAAGCAGAGGTGGACTAAAGTTTCGACCTCGGTGCGGGTCTTATCAACACCCCCAGCGATACCCGAGCCATCACATTACAGCGTATAATCTCAACGCGTTAACCATTACCTCACTTGCCACGAGTGCCCTTGGGTCACGGAACAGATGTGAATTTAAAGGAAGGTCAGGCATTTTTCCTAATCACCTTCTGTAGTGGGATTGTTGATGAGGTAAAGTTATATTTGCTATAGCAATCGACCAAATTACCTTTTTTGCGTTTATAAAGCCTACTTATAAACGAAAAATATTTAAGTCCTATTCACACATTGCGTCCCATTATTTGATTGGTCGTCACATGCTTCTCCTACTTGCCTGCTGATGGGAAAGTTAGATTATGCAAATGAGGTGGATGCGGTCGCAACAGTCTTCCTAGCTTTGCTCTTGCTGTATATTATTGGTTCGTATTTTCGCAAGCAACAATTTCTCTCTTCGACAAGGATGAGGTCCTTCCAACAAACTGTCCCTTCGAAATGAAAAATCGAGTCATCATTTCTATACCTGCCTTGAGTGAGGCCATTGTGTAAGCGCAGATTGGACGAAGCACGATTATGCGAAGAAAAGTTGGGTTTCGAGGAATCTCTTGTTTCATAATTGTTGAGTTCCATTTCGAGTGAAAATGTTTTGGTGAAGAGATTCGAATTTG